TCATTCTACATAATCACTCTTCCTCTCACTGTAATTTCCAATGATTACAAAACAAATACAAAAATATTTTTTTACTTACAACAAAAATCCTTAGAAAAATGGTCGAAATTATTAAACATTTTTGTTTGTTCTTTTGGGGTATTAGTTTCACTTACTTATACTTTTATTAATGATACAGTACCTCATTAAAGTAGTTCAATATCTCTACAGACTAACAAAACCAAAGAAACCCATACATCATTATTTATTTACCTGAACCCAGTCATCCTACCACACAGTCCTGCTTGTAATCCGTCAATCCCCTCTAAATCACCCTTACCAAACACTCAAATAGTAAGGATTATTCCACACAGTCCACATTACTTCATTTGTTTCTGTACATTCTCATTAGTACACGTGCAGGGTGGCAAAAATATTTCTACCGGAAGGGCAAACACGGCAACGAATATATACACTTACCCTGTATAACACGCACGCACACAAGCACATACATACATACATAACAATTGGGTCAAATGATGATAAACCATTTTACGCACTCTGGTATGAAAATGCTTAAGTAAGTGTATAATAAGGCTCTCGTTTTGATTATCCAACGTTGCGAGTACATCAGGGTTGTTCTCTTGTTATTCTAAATGAAAATATTTTCGATTGATCCAACTACAGTATAGGTGTAGCGGTTGTGAAAGGAGGGCTGACGACTACCCAATTTAATTTAATGTATAGGGTCACCGGGAAAGTTCTGTACAGTATTCCAGCTTTAAAATGATGGTACTTGAAAGTAAGTCCAGTAAGAGGACACGGTGCACCCGGGTCTTAACAGTGTCTGGTGTGTTTTCTTCTTATCAAAGAGTCAATCTATGCCTTCCAATACCTTCCATTGTGAGAGAATTAGATATGGATCATCATGCAACTCAAGTCGTCCTATTCCTGCCTCGCGTGCAACTGACTCAGCGTATTTTGAACTGCGCTGAAGCATGTTGATACACTCTTGTTTAGATCACATGAGATTTAAAATCCTAACGCTTACCTAACCTAACCCCTAGGTAGCGTTAGGGTGGTTAATCTTCAGGCGATATAAGCTGTGGTGTCTAATCTTCAGGTGAAATAAGCTGCAGTGTCTAATCTTTAGGTGACCTCTTTGTTTTAATATCAATAACCAATGAACAAGTAAGTAAAATTCAATGTTCCAAGGATCATTGTTGATGTTAAAAAACCGAACAACTGTATGTAGCAGCAAAATTCATATCTATCAGCTAATAAAAGGAACCTCATCACATGTTGTCAAGTCTAAACACTATTCCCAACATCTTATTCTCTATACAACTCATATAAATCATGATATAAGAACATCCGATATTGCTAAGAATAATTCACTGCGACCATCTTTATGTAAATTAGTTTTATTTAATTACTTTCATCGGGACTGGACTGTGGAGCAGCGCTGTCATGTACAGTATAGTGGTAAAGTTCGATCATCAGCTAAAAAATTATTCTCTTGATTTCAACAGGTGAAAATACAGGTGAAAATACATATATTTGCATTTATGAATAGCACTGATATATATTATTATTTGAAAATATATTTAACGCTTTTCGGAGTAATCGATCCATTCAAACTTAATAACCAAAGGACATTTTTACCAAAGAAAGCTTTCGGAGTTTTTACCTAAACTTTTCGTGGATCATTAGAAATATTTCCTTGTTTTTTATTTGCGTCTTTCTCTTTTATCATAGCCTTGTTTAAGTTACTGGAGAAATTATGTAACACCACACAAATTATAACACTGAAATGGTACTGTGTTTTATCTTCTTCTACAGAGGGATTTAAGTATCTTGTCTAAGTACAAGACATTGGACTTTATGTTGCTTAGCAGTACAGTAAAGTAACCTAAAGTAATGGGAAATTTACTTCATACATAACCTTAAATATCAATGTATGTGTGCTATAAAAACACCAATACTAAAGGAACAGCAAAACCAACAGTACTAAAGAAACATCATCACAAAATGAACACCATAACTAAAGGAACACCATAACTAAAGGAACACCATAACTAAAGGAACACCATAATTAAAGGAACACCAACAATACTCCCAACAGTTGACTGACAGTAACAATTTAGCTTCTCGTATTCATCAATATCATCATGAAACGTCGGAAAATTATAAGGTATCGATAGATATAAAAATAATATTGGTATTGATGAATTATATAACAATGTATAATTTTTATTTATTTTCTAAATAATATTTTTAAGCGAGTGTAAAGGAGAAACTACTATCAGGAAGCTAGTTTCAGAGACCAGCTGTTAATGTTGGCGTTATAATATACTAGTGCGCTTTGACAACGAATCTAAGGTACTACAGGCACAAGTCGTTAACATTAATCGAGATAGGCTTTAACCCTTTCGCCACGGGAGGTTACCCGAAGCTGAATAAAATCGTCTGGCGGTAGCCAGAATAAAATGACAAGTGCGTGAAACGCGGCGAAAGGGCAAATACATCTCTGAACATTATTAGCTGCTTCTAATACCTTTAACTCATACTACATTGATTATGTCCAAGTGCACTGATAATGAACTATTCATATTTTATACTTTAATGCAACAGATAAAAATATGGCATGGAAACTAGAAAAATAAGAAAATAATATAAATGCCAGTTTATATTACATAAAGAGCAGACTAAATAATATTCATCATATAAAATATAAACTTCCTGTGGAAAGGTTTACTGCGGACTTATTGTTAGTCTCTGGTTTTAGGTTCTTTATGCTAGGATTCAATTTGCCATAAGTTAAACGAATTATTATATTTACATAAAATTTCAGAATCTCATTTGCTTAAATTACGATCATGTTCTAAATAGTGTTTGCGAATTTCTGAAAAATAAATATGAGTTTTGCCAACAGACGTCGCTGTAATTGTAAAAGATAATCCCTTGTGCTTTAATATTTCTGAGCTAGAAGTCACACAGACAATTTCCGATGTATTCGATTGAGTAATTAATTACACTGTAGAGAGATTTTCATAAGTAAATTTAAACGTGAATTGTGGATAGGTGGTGTTCTAGTGCTTTGATTATCCGTTCTTTACAAACAAAACTAGTGGCCGGGTCTTGGGTACTGTACAGTACTGCTAGCAAGGGATGGCCTCACTTACAGATACACTTAATGAAATCTATAATTGAGAATCTATTGTTCTAACCTCATCATCATCATCAATGTTTTACGTCGCGACTACTCCATTCTGTACAGTCTCTTGCAGTCTTACAGGAAATTTCTTAAACCTCTCCACATGTCATTCTTGGCATACACCAACCCCCAGGGCAGGCGAGCACTAACTCTGGCAACAACACCTCTAACACCACGATACACAACAGGGGACCCAAGAGAGACCCTTGATGGACCTCTAATTTACCTCAGATTCCTAACTTCCCTCACTATTAACTTTCAAGATTCTTCGGTCTTCATATAATACCATAACCACTCGACCAAGACACTCTTCTACCCCTAAACTTCTCATTACCCACTTTATTGCTTCATGATACCCTGCCTTCAAATGCCTTCACTTGCTCTACAAATAAAAAATACAACTTTCTCTCTTTCCCTAAAAATATCTCTTGTAGGTGCCTGGTCGTGAATGTTGCCTCTGCAGTCTCCTACCTGATTGAATCCAAGCAGTAAGTGTTTATCATCACGCTCTTAGGCCAGTCAGCTGGAATAATACATTCCATCATAACTGCATTAATCAATTCGATCACCATCGTCTGAAGCTTTTAATATTTAACAACACAAGAAAGGAGGAAACTGCAGCGGGCCTATTGACCAAACTCCTATCGCTCATATATCCGTCCAACCTATATTTGAAGCAATCCAGCGTGTTCTAGTTAAAGATGATGTTCGGTAACTTGTTCCACTCATCCACTAATCTATTTCAAAACCAGTGTTTACTTAATCTCGCGCCTAAATCTAAATTTGTCTAATTTAAAACCATTGCTTCGACTTCGCTCCTCATTTGATAGTTTGAGTACCTTTGTTATATCACCTTTGTTTAACCCTGACTTCCATTTATACACCTCGATCATATCGCCCCTCACTCTACGTCTCTAGAGGGAGTGCAAATTAAGATGCCTTAACCTGCTTCTGTACTCAAGGTTCCTGGTGCCCAGGATTAGCCTTGACACCCTCCTCTATTCCTGATCTACCAGCAGCCATTCCTGTCTTCCATTATAACTAAATCAACCTAAAGTAAGGGTATAAGGGTTGGTAAATGGTGATAGCCAGTGATAAAACATAACGATACAAGAGACTACAGTACCTCAGCCTTCTTACTTAATGACTTCAGATATACAGTACAAGTCAGTGGAAAATTGGGTTAATATTTGATCACATTTGGTTAAGTAATTGTATGAACAAATAAGTGTCACAGGACATACTACCAGTTACCAGGTGATGATTATGGTGAGTTTTACCAATGTTAAAGTTTCAAGAATGTCCATAATGGTATAACAAACTGAGTTTGTAAAATCATCCTTTGACTATTAACATTTACTCGCTAATTTCCCCTATTATATTTCTCTAGTCTCACTGCAAAAATGCCCTTTATTGCGGGTACTCAAACGTGTAACGCTGAGAGTGTTTCTTGGCGTTGGTAGTAATGAGTGGGAGAATGTGTACACACAAACACAGGCACACGCACACACACACACCAAGTTAGGTGAGACACTACTAGGAGCAGCCGTCCACACCGCCACACCACACCACTCACCTTGGTTGTGTTGGGTTGTGTTAGTTTTTGTTCGTTATGAAAAATGTTGAGCAGTATCAAAATTATCCCCGCTGTACTACTATACTTGTCTGTAATAGACGAACACCACAAACATAACTTTACACACACACACACTGTCTATATATATATATATATATATATATATATATATATATATATATATATATATATATATATATATATATACAAGTACATAGTTAAATTTGTACAAAAATAACTGATACTGACCCAGGTAAATGCATCTTCTTACCTGGTCAAGTAGTGTAGTTATCACCAGCGTATAAAACATCTATAGCTACACCCTGAGAGCTGCCACACCCGCCAACACCGCCCTTCATACACTCTCACCTTGGAAGCCACAGTGTTTATTCAGGATAACCGCCGCCAATCTGTCCGGCAGAGGAGCGTCAATAACCTAAGTGTGTTTATGTTTTACCCTGTAGAATGTTCATCACAAGGCCGGGAAGAATCACTCGCCAGCAGCACCACTATTACAAGTCTATTCAACTTGGTTATTATTATTATTATTATTACATGGGACGGAAACAGCAACCCAAGGCGTCTGTCCGATGTGTGACCGCGGCAGTTGAGCAAGAGATGGAAAGTGAGTTAGGTGAGCAGTCCGCCAGAGGAGCGAGGAACGCCAGCCTTCATGAGCACCACCAACACAGCCACTACCAACACCCACCCACCGTCACTCTTCGCTCTACACATCCTCACCGACCAACCTCCCGAGCTGACTTTGTACGTCCGCCTGTGAACAAACAGACACATGTATAGACAATGAAAATTAATTCTTTAATACTTATGGTACAGATGATACACACGAAGCATTAGTTCCTTCACTATGGCGACGCTACTTTTAATATTTTATTTAGTTAACGCCAGATGATTTTTTTCAACTCCGAGACGACCCCATACACAAAGGGTTCATAGACTATTAGTAGACTATCTCACCTTAATAGGATCACCTGAAGAATAACCCTATATCTTATTTCACCTAACCTAACCTAACCATATTAACACTAACCTAATTCCTCAGGTAGCGTTAGGCTATTTAATCACCAGGTGAGATAAGCTGGGGAGCTAATCGCCAGGTGATCCATGAGTTATAAATAAGCCATTTTTAGTATTTATAAAGTACTGTTCATATCATTTAGCGAGAGATTTACAGTGGGTTAGACTCATAGCCACCACGACAACCGAACACTCACCTGATGACCTGGTGACTCACCGCCTAGTGACTAAACCTGATGGCTTAGTGACTCAACCTGATGGCCTAGTGACTCAACCTGATGATCTAGTGACTCACCTGATGGTCTAGTGGCTCACCTGATGGCCTAGTGACTCAAATGATGGGTTAGTGACTCACATGACCACCTAATGACTCACCTGAAAGCATAGTAACTCACCTGATGGCCTAGTGACTCACCTGATTATTTAGTGACTCACCGGAAGCCTTATTGACTCACCTGATGACATAGTGACTTACCTGATGGCTTAGAGACTCAGCTAATAATCTAATGACTCACATGATGAGACAATGACTCACCTGATGACCTAGTGGCTCACCTGGTGGCCTAGTGACTCACCTAATATCTAGTGAGTCTCTCGATGACCTAGTGGCTCACTTGGTGGGATAATGAGTCACTTGGTGGGATAATGACTCACTTGGTGGGTTAATGACTCACTTGGTGGGTTAATGACTCACTTGGTTGGGTGGGTGTTGACGGTCCTGGAGTGTTCGGGTTTAGGAGAGATGGATGTGGTTGACGGCAGGTGTTGGGGCCAGTGAGTGTTCCAGGTAATGAGCCAATCAGGGCGCCCCGGACCTCTCATCTCCAAACTGTGAGAAGAAACAACCAGAAAATGTTCACTAACCTAACCTAACCTAACCTAACCTAACCTAACCTAACCTAACCTAACCTAACCTAACCTAACCTTGTGACAGCACCTTTGCTTTATATAAATATTCATCCAAATGAATAACGCCATGAGTTAATGGGGCTTGAACATGTAAAAGATTGTTTTTTTTTTTTTTTTTTAGCGAAAACCCAACTGCCTTTTCTTAATTTATTACGAAAATATTTTTTATATAATTCCAAGTGTGTATATCACCGTAACTATCTCAATGAGCTATTGGGTGTTTAAATGAGGACGGAGGCTATCTTAAAGTAGCTCTTCTAAATATGTCCGATTGATGTGAAGGTGGGAGTGATCTTGAGTAGGGACCCTCGAGGGAGAATGGAAATATAACCGACGTCCTTCCTAGAGGAAAGCCGGAGCACCTCAACGATGGCTCTAAATAACGTCTTCCTCTCGTCAGGGTTATCAAACTACTGCCCACAATAGGTGGCCAGAGAGACGGATAATTATCATTTAGCTCAGCACCAAGTGAGGTGACTTCCCGTGGACACGCCTTATGACGTGCTCTGAACATGCTACCTCATAGCTAGTGAAAAGTTACATTGGGTGATATTTATACAAGTCTAATGTAATTAACCCACATTTATATAAATACTTCTGCAGGGGCTAATAAATCGCTCGGTAACACCTTCCGAACTCGCGAGGAATTAACTATTCTCGCAGAAAAACCCTATACATAAACCTAACCATGTTACATGTGTCTGGGGGAAACACTAAACCGGGAAAGCTGACACCTGCTGTTGATCAGCTACTCAAGCCCGAGTCTGAAATACCTTATGGGAGAGAATATTATGTACAATGGCAAACTGGAAGATTCTGACTTATAATCACAAAACAAAAATATTACTGCCAATATTAACACAATTGTGGAAATCGTTAACTTGGATATAGCAAATCCCGTAATAACATGGCAGAAATAAGTCTCGCCTCTTTCGTGTTTAAGAACGCAACTTCTTAGCAATGTACAATTTTTGCGACTGAATAATCACGCTGGATGAATGAGTGAGTGGCGCTTGTGACTTTTCGACGAAACATTCACCTTTGCGGAGAGCAATGGTACTGACGTCTGAAGGGTTCTAAGACTACATGGCTGAAGATTTACAAAACAAAAATATCACTATCAAAATAAAATGGCAAAAATAAATCTTGCCTACTTCGTGTTAAAGAACGCTTCTTCTTAGCAATGTACAAACTTGCGAAGGGTTTGCAACAACGAAAAAGCTGATGATTTACAGATCGTGATAATATCATTATGGAACTGTCATATTTGCAGTTTGATCATTATTAACAATATCTAACTGACATATTTCCAGCTTAAACATTATTAACCTTGCTGGGGAAAAAAATCAGCATTTTCTATGTCTAAGGTTTGAAAATACTGAGAATATGTTACTTCAGTATATATATACAGTATATTACAGTAGTAGGCAGCTACCAAACAGGGAGGTACTACTGCCTGGGAAGATACTGAAAGCAAAATATATTGTCTAATGGTAGACCCTGCTGCTATATGGCATCACGAAAATTGTGACCAAGTCCCAGGTGGCTGATCTGACTTTCTGCCTCATTTTACATACAATTGCAGGGTCTCAATTGTTTTTCTTACTTTGACAACACAACATACACATATTGTTTCTCACCATTGATTTTTCTTTACATTTTTGCATTTCTTTATGGTTCTTTATTATTATTATCATTATTATTATTATTAGTGTTGTTATAACTATTATTGTTAACATTAATATTTTATTTTTAATTTTGTATTTTGTATTATAAATTTTATTTACTATGAATTACTATTATTTTGTATTTTTATTATAAATTTTATTTAATATTAATTATTATTATTATTATTATTATTATTATTATTATTATTATTACATTTTCACCCCACAGGCCCTGACGTGAGTCAGTGACCTGTGCCCGGCTGGGCTAATCCCCAATAGAAAAAAAAAAATTATATATATATATAATCAACAACCTCACCAGCCAGGACTCGAACCCTGGATCTACTGTGTGGGACCAGGGAACGTTACCGACCATGCCACAAGGACACTAAAAGCAGTTCTAGACTATGTTACATTTCACACAAAGCCTGTTCATCGAGCTGATGGCGCGGTGAACCTCCCACTGGGAACTGCCCATGCCGCTTATGTGGATGTCAGTAGCATTTTACCGAATCCAGCTGGTATGAAACACGAGGTAACATATAAAGTAGGAGAGGATTTTCATAAAGTATAAAAACTTTGCATACTTTTTAATATTTTTAATAATTTTTATTCTCTTTCTCGTCATTTCTATAACTCGTAAAACCTTTTGCGTTACCCCTTTGAGTGGGTAACTTAGTGAGTGTTATGCTGCAAGTTTTGGATTTCAAATAAGAATTTAGTGATTCAAACTCAGATGGTCGGTCATCTATAAATTCACAAGAGCTAGTGGCAACTGATAGTGAAGAATTACTGTAGCTGCCTCTACAATAAACGAGAAAACAGCTACAAGTGTTTACATCAAACCCAGGGTTCCAAAACTTAATTAAAACAATTAATGTGATACCAAAACAGCTATCCCAACCTAACCTAACCTAACCTAACCTGAGATATACTGTATCATTCTAACTACACAATTTCGGATCACCTGAAGTTTAGACACCCTAGCTTGTTTCACCTTATCATTAACTCCCTTAATGCTACTTTGGGGTTAGGTTAGGTTAGGTTAGGTTAGGTTCGGTTAGGTTAGGTTGTTTATGTCAGTTATAAAATTTCTAAATCTGTAATTATCACAGTAACTTATATCCGTGTTGGCCGCTACACTGGGTGGGGTTAGTCGCCGCTCTTCTCGTGAAAACACCAGATAATAAGCTCGTCTTTCTCGCCTGAAAGTTAGGAGGATAATTGGACATTATCTATCGGTAACTTCTTCATCAAACTTGTGAGGAGAAGGAAGAGGTGACCTTTATACTGTACAACCAGCGTCCCCACCACACGAGCCGCCTCACCCCTTCCACTTCTTGTTTTATTGTTTCATATTAGTGGATATTTTGTATGTAGGATCACCTGAAGATTAGATACCCCGGTTTATTACCCATGAAGATTAACCACCCTAACGCTACTTGGGATGGTTAGGTTAGGTTAGGTTAGGGAAGGGTTGATGTGACTAGGTTAAGTCAGGTTAGGTTAGGCTTTTGAGTTAGCTCTGCACTCCACTTATTCGTGTCAACCTGTGGTGGACCTCTCCAGCTCATCTCTCTCATGACGGTCGGCTAACTTACACTAGCTCCCTTCATACAAGCGAGTTTTCCCAAAGCGTAAAAATCTCTTAGTGTGTTGCCCCCCTACCTAGATGAGCAGTAACTGTGGCGCGTGAAAACACGCTCCTGTGAAGGGAGCCAATGCCCTACATGTGTACTTATTCTCTTAAATCTAGGGACGTGTCAGCCTTAGATACAGGCTTAGTGAAACGATTGTGTGTCCTACCTGTGATCCTTCCCAGTGATTATTTTATATATTAGGACACGACACTTTTTCTCCTTGGCCAGTGATGCTCACCAGAGTGTTAACATGCGTGTCTCTGTCTGAGACCGTCACAATGCTCACTATTTTTGGTTGTCTCTCGCATCAGTGATTCGCTACTCTAACCTTTCTATATAACTTTTTGCTGTGTTTATTTATAAGAAAAATTACATTATGTTTGACTTCTCCCGACAATAGTGATTTAATCTAAGTCTAGTGATTTTATTACCTTCATTATTCATATAAATTTTTCTAGATCATAACTTATTTGTTCAAGAGAGGAATTTATGGTTGACGTTCTTGTATTAACTTAGTTTTGAGTTCGGTATTTCCTTTACAAGTACTTAATTTAGTTAACTATAGCTTTTAACCCGTGACATTAGGTTAGGTTAGGTTAGGTTAGGTTACTTTAGTGAATCTTCAGTTAGTTCTGGTCATTGATATTAATCACCACCATTTGTTTATTGTGTGTGTGTGTGTGTGTGTGTGTGTGAACATGAATTCTGATAGCCTGACTAAGACTGAAGTGATGGATCTTCAATGTTTCAGTAAGGAACACACGAGGATGCCACCAAGCTCTTACGAACATCAGGTGACGTTAAGCCTAGCGAAGACGTCTGTTAACCTAACCTTGTCCACAGTAATTCTAAATTCCTTTTTTACAGATACAAGTTAAAACGGTAATTAAAAATACTGTTTAGTTTATGTAAGTATTCAAAGCTGTAACATATGTGAGTTATTTAATAAATCTTAATATTGTTTTTATTATAATTAATGAGTTTTGGTGAGCAGGAGGAGGGAGGAAGGGAGGGGGTAGGTAGGGAGGGAGAGAGGGAGGGAGGTGAGGGAGGAGATGGAGGGAGGGAGGGAAGGAGGGAGGGAGGGAGGGAGGGAGGGAGGGAGGGAGGGAGGGAGGGAGGGAGGGAGGGAGGGAGGGATTGCTTGCGACAACCTGGACTCTGCTCATTAAGAAACTCCTCATTAGCGTACAACTTGCCACTCCGTCAAGGTGAAGCTTTTATTCTCCACCATTCATGTTTATTTTGTCTCACTGAGCAATAAGTATGAACACGCCCTCACACTATGTCTTAACACCTAATATAAATATGTGTGTGTGTGTGTGTGTGTGTGTGTGTGTGTGTGTGTGTGTGTGTGTGTGAGGGGAAAGATCAAAGCATGTATAACGGGGAAATACATCTCAAAGGGTGTTAACAGTAGCAAGGGAGAGAACACAATAGTGGAGGAGAACACAGTGGTGGGGGAAAGAACACAATGGTAAGAGAGAGAACACCCTGGTGAAGGAGAGACCACAATGATAAGGGAGAGAACATCCTGGTGAAGGAGAGAACACAATGGTGAAGGAGAGAACACCCTGGTGAAGAAGAGAACACCCTGATGAGGTAGAGAACACAATGATGAAGGAGAGAACACCCTGCCGAGGTAGAGAACGCAATGGTAAAGGAGAGAACACAATGGTAAGTTAGAGAACACCCTTGTGAAGGAGAGAACACAATGGTGAAGGGGAGAACACCCTGGTGAAGGAGAGAACCCCCCTGGTGAAGGAGAGAACACAATGGTAAGGGAGAGAACACCCTGGTGAAGGAGAGAACACTCTGCTGAGGTAGAGAACACAATGGTGAAGGAGAAAACACCCTGGTGAAGGAGAGAACACAATGGTAAGGGAAAGAACACCCTGGTGAAGGAGAGAACACCCTGCTGAGGTAGAGAACACAATAGTGAAGGAGAGAACACCCTGGTGAAGGAGAGAACACAATGGTGAAGGAGAGAACACCTTGCTGAGGTAGAGAACACAATGGTGAAGGAGAGAACACCCTGCTGAGGTAGAGAACACAATGGTAAGGGAAAGAACACGATGGTGAGGGAGGCAAGACGTACGTGAGGGAGGCAGAGAGGTGGTCGACGGGGACGTGCAGTAAGGTAGTGTCCTGGGAGGCACACGCTCGCCCCACCACCATCCCACCAGCGTCACGACCCACCGACTCCAGCGTCACGTTCCACGAGTTGCACGACCCTGTTGGCAGTGTTATAGTGTGTCCTCAGTGCTGACTTTATTATTATACGTAGCTTAAAGATGGTGTCAAGTTTTGATCTGCAATATAAAATATCACACATACAGACACGGAAAGATATTAAGTACAAATTACTACTACTGTACTACTTTGCTATCACTCGGAATCGAATAAGACGATCATCCAGCTATGATACAATGATACGAGTTATTAAGGATGTCACCTTCGTTTTTGAGCTCTGATGTGACTAGAGAAGCCGATACAGGACCGGCACACAGTGGTCCCAAACCCAGATTATCTGGCCAAACCCCAAATGAGCATATTCAATAAAACAAATCATTCTTGAGATAAACAGATTTAGGGGCTCATAACACCTCTATAAAAATGGATGTGATGCGTAGTTTTCAGTTTAGAGCATTAAGTAGTTGTACTGCTACTCCAAATGCGTGTTTTGGATTCTGGATACCTCTGGTAATACTTAAATTATTTTGCATATAGTATTTTCTATCAGGATTTTGCATGTCAGGTACCAACAAAAAATGTATTAAATGCCATATGTAGAATATTCGTTGCATGTTCCACATGCATAAAGTTAACTTGTGGAATATACATAGCAGTAAGGCTCAGATCCCAAAATGTCCCTAATCGGCAAATAATAGATGTTGAAAACATAAAGTAGCATTGGTACCGACTTGTCCGTTTTGAATATTACGCCATATTCCGTTTTCTTTTGGCCTGTGTGTTGACAACACTCCAGCTGTCATTGATCTTCATGAATCACTTCACGGTAGGTTCATAATCTGTAGCGTGGATTTTCTTAAAAGAAAAGTATACCAATACCTTCTGAACCTAAACAAAAAGCAGCAAAAAGTGTTTGCGTGTTTTTGTAGAGAAGGAAAATCACCCGACTACCCGCTTCACGCTATTGAGAAATATAATAGTTACACCTACTTAAATCAACATCATAGAAAATGTTCGAAGGTAAACCTTAATGCAAGACTTGGCTACATAACAAGATATCAAGGCAAAGAACCAATCAAGACTTAATGAATTGGCTTTTAGCGACTTCTGACCCAATGGTAGCCAGCTACAGGAAATTAAAACGTAAGTATGCACAGCACATGCACCATTGACAAAGGAAGTGCTAGCACTCTTCAAGGAACCTGATGTGTCGATGAATCTTCCTGTAGGTAAATGAAGTCAACCTGCATATTCTATATACTGTAATACTTTAAGTATAGTGTGAGTGTGTGTGTATTATTTGTTGTTTGTAAGTGAGTGAACATAAGTTATGAATTTTAATGATAATGAGAGAGTGTGTGTGTGTGTGTGTGTGTGTGTGATTACAAAAGAACGAAGTAATGTATGTCATTATTTCTAATTATTAATAAGCTAGCTGTAAGAAAACTCAAGCATATATCCCGTTGATGTAATAAACTAAATACTGTCAACAAAATGAGTATTTCATATACCTTATTTTGACATTATATTTGTGATAAAGAATATATACAAAGCTGAACGGATTTGAAATCATGTTGAAATGTCCGTAGACTTTTGTAAGAGATATCTCGGTTTGGTACCACTGTGCAGCAGGGTCGTCCACAGATGTTGTGCGTGTGAAGGGCTACATCTAGTGCAGAAGGGGCGGGAGCAGCGTAATTCCGGCGTTGGCGTTTGTCTGCCTAGGTATGCAGTCGGGCTAACTCGAGAGCATTGATACCTTCTCTTGTGGTGCTTCTCCCAGCGTTACGGTGTGGAGTAATCGTCTCCCAGGAGAGGGGGTCGATTTGGCATTTTTTCAGGTTTATCTCAAGACTATCCTTATACCTCTCCAGTCGCCCGCCACTGTTATGTTTACGATTCATTAGGTGACTGTAAAGTAGCTGCTTTGGCAGTTTAATATCGTCCATGCGGATAACATGGCCAATCAAACGTAGTTGTTCATGGATAATGGTAGCCTCGGTGCTCCTACAGTTGGTGTCAGCGAGAATACTGGCATTTGTTCTCTTGTCTTCCCAGCGAACTCTTATGTTGAAAAGACACTTCATCCGGTTCTCGATGTCCATCCCGACGGCTAAATTGGCACGAGTAAGGAAGGCAGCCAAGAAAATGGAAGAGAGAATTGGTGCCAGTACACATCCTTATTTTACTCCCGTTTGGATGGGTAAGAACTCAGACTGGGTGCCATTGTGCAGGACACTGCTGTTCATGCCATCGTGGAGTTGTTTCACAATGTCGATGAATTTTGGTAAGCAGCCAAAACGGTTGAAGGTTCGCCAGAGGGCTTCCCTGTTGACTGAGTCGAAGGCCTTGGTTATGTCAATGGAGGTCATGTACAAGTCACGATGCTGTTCTCTGCACTTTTCCTGTACATGGTGGGCAGCAAAGATCATGTCAGTGGTGCCACATGATGGTCTAAAGCCACATTGAGATTCTGGGAGGAAGTCTTCCGCCTCAAGAACAAGTCTGTACAGGAGGACACTGGTGATAATCTTGCCAGCCATGGAAAGCAGGGAGATCCCACGGTGGTTGCCACTGTCTGACCAGTTTCCCTTGTTCATATAAATATGGAGGGGTCTTTAAAAGCTTGGGGGATTTCCTCCTTTTCCCATATATTCTGAGGGAGAGAGTGGAGATGGGATTCCATCAGGCCCCGAGGCTTTCTTATTTTTCATCTGTTTGATGGTAGTAGCTACCTCATCGAGGGATGGAGGATAGCCGAGGTGTGTCCAGGGACCTATTGGGTAGTCAGGACATCCTCATCGGGCTTTGGTTGAGCAGCGAATGGTAAGTGATCTTCCCAGCGCTGAAGGATGCCCCCATTGTCTTTAATTAGGGAGGTACCGTTGGATGAGCAAAGAGAGGCTGCGCCATAAGTGATTGGCCCATAAAAAGTTTTAGTAGAATTGAAAAATTCACGCATCTTGTGTTGATCTGCCAATTTTTGCATTTCACATGCTTTATTTTTAAATCAGTCGTTCTTTAGATTGTGAAGTTCGCGCTAGCCCACTGCTTTCTTCTTGCAGAAGGTATCAGCTATGGTCTGAGACTGAGGGTTGTTCTGCCAGTCAGTTAAAGCAGCAGATTTATCATCGACGAGCACATTGATTTCCGGGTCATTTTCATCAAACCAGTCCTGGTGTATTCTTTCGATTTGGCCGTGAGTCTCTCTGCAGGTTTTTGTCATGACAGTGTCCAGAATACCCCATTAGGCACTGGGATTTGTGTTGTTTATTGTCGAATTGTTTATCAGCCCATGTTCGAGCTGCTCTCTGAAAGCATGTGCTACCGCCAGATTCTTCAAACACTTACTGCTGATAGCCCAGTTTGTTGGGTTTAGCCTTAGTAGCTTGTCCATCATGCAGTGACTTCGTCTGCCGGTGTAGTCGTTGGGTTCTCATGTAACACAGGATCCAGGAAGAAATCTCAGGCTACGATTGCAAGTTTATTTCTGTGGCGAGGAGAACTGTGCTCAAGCGCGGAGCGAGAGTGAGTGACTGTTTCAAAGCCGCTCACGAGTATACAGTACTGTATATACAGGCTGACTGAACGAAGCTGTCTCGGCTCGTCTCGAACCAAGTTCAGCCAAGTCAGCCAGCCGACTCAACAACAGTTACAACAACAAAACAACTACAGGGTAGTTACAAAAATGTATTGGACATCTGTTAAGTTACATGACATTACATTAATCTATAACAGTTTAAATACAAGTAGAGAACAATGTGTAGTTATTCTTGAGTTGCTACACTCCCATGGTGGTTACCTCGTCCGCCTATACCGCCGTTGAGGTCTTGTTGAAGCTCTGTAAGCATGCCTACCTGATGCTGGGCTCTACCGCAGATTTTTAGTTCGATGTTTACTTCTGTAGTCTTGCACCACCCAAATTTAATCTGCAAGGCAGCGGGGCAGTGGTTGGTAGGCGCCAGGACGTGACTACGTACCAGTGGGCCTATACACTGTCCTTCTGGGGCTCACTGCTGTTCCGAGATCCCCTGCTGGTCTAACCTATGCCCATTAAGCACCCAGTTAACGTGTGTTGCCACGAGGAGGCACAGCAGGAGTCTTGATGGTGAAGAGGCTGTGTGCTGGTCGGGGAGGACTTATGCAAGTTGCTTCCCTGTTAGCCACGAGAGCTAGTCAGTAGCGGTAGCTAAAAGCAAGAGGAAACAAACAGTGCTTGCACCTTAACACTAACATAATTCTGCCACTCAAGACACATTACACTACCCTGAGGCACACACACACACACACACACACTGACCGTGCTTGGGAGGAGTGACTGTGATGGCGAGGGCGGAGTTCGGCTGACTGTTAATTACCCAGTTACACGTCACATACAGGTAGGTGGTGGTAGGCGCCGTGTACCCGCGGGGACCCACTTCACCTGTAAGATCAGAGATGCAGGTCATGTACAAGTAGGCGGTGGTGGCCGAGGAGGCTCATACACCTGTCCAGTTTAAGGTCAATTTAGCCTAAGAGACAAAATTTTACCTGCCAGGGTCTGTGATAGCTAGGACCTACCTGCCAGGGTGTGTGATAGCTAGGACCTACCTGCCAGGGTCTGTGATAGCTAGGACCTACCTGCCAGGGTGTGTGATAGCTAGGACCTACCTGCCAGGGTGTGTGATAGCTAGGACCCACCTGCCAGGGCGGTGTGGTAGACGGGGCCGCAGATGGAGGCAGGGAAGAAGGAGTACTCGAGCGTGAAGTTGAAGCCCGGTGTGGCCCATGTGAAGTGAGCTACATGGTATATCACGTCCACACCTCCACCAGTCTCCACCGTCAGCGCCTGCACCTCCTGTGGGTTCACATATGGTTCACAGTTGTATCACAAAGGGTTCATAAGTGGTTCATAAGGTTCACCTTACACTAGAAGACTTGTAAATAGTTAAACACTCGGGGACTGAGAAGGTTCTTAACACTTAATTAACCTTCGAAGGAAATTTCTTATTTTTTTCCATACATACTTGAGTGTTACGGCCGGGTGTATGAACGAGTCACTCTTTACAGGCGAACAAAATTGACAAAAGTAAACAAGTTGACCAGACCAAACCAGACCAGACCTGTATAGTTAATTAACCTACAGCTGCAGGGCTGACAAATATTTCGGTATATACTGCTTCGCTCCTGGTCTGAACCTGCAGCTTCTACACGGTTTCCCAGAACGTTTGAAGTCAGTGTCCCCAGACCTTGAGGATAATGCGCTGCACAACTAACTCAGCCTCGCTAGTGACTGACGGGCATGAGAAGTCTGAGGTGCGTCTTAGGACTCAATCATAATGATGAAGGATAATTTTTTTGCACGAACTGTATATTCAAACTTTCCAATGCTAATCTTCTAAAAATGCCTTTCACTAAGCATAGAAAGGTTGAAGAGAGAAATGTACAGTACGTATTTCTCACTGATTCAGAATGATCGTATTGAAAAGTGAATATTTTTTTTTAAATGAAAAATAAAATTAAAACACAAACCCTCAGTAGTTCACCATAAAAGTATTAGAGGTGACTCTTTAATTATGACTCAGGGTGAACATGAGCGATACCTGTTGAACACTTTCACTATAAGGACACTTGTCGCCGCCACGAATTTACTCATTGCGTTCCAGTGCTGTTTGTTATTTAACTCTTTGTTTAGCTTTCCCTTCGTTACTTCCTTATTCACTAATGCTGTCTTCTGTTTGTCTATTTCTTTCTGTTTCTCAATCTTTATCTCTTTTTCCATCTACAACAACACTACTTCTTTATCTTCATCTATCTTTATCTGTCACACACACACACACACACACACACACACACACAGTAAGTGAGGGCGCCTACCTTTATCTGCCCACAAAGACAGGAGAGGACGCTGCGAGTTTTAGTGTGGACGAAGAGAATGTGGTCGACGTGTTGCAGAGGCACCATGGACGGGTGACAGTGGCACCCTTCCTCCCCGCACTGTGTGTTACAGAGTGTCTCCGTGGCCCTCATGTTCGCCTCCTCCACCTGTCAACACCCCAACCTCCTGTAGTACTCGTAACCTAACCTAACCTAACCTAACCTAACCTAACCTAACCTAACCAAGCAGGTCTAATAATATACGTATTAATATTTGTTGATCAAACTGTTCAACTATCAAAGATAAAATAGTTTAATCTTTGTATGTATAAATAAACATTAAACGACGCTTAAGAACGTATACAGACATTGAGAGTTTACAACAGGCTTCCTCCTCCTAACACACGTACTCTACTCTACTTCCCAATATTTTGCCCAAATTTTGCCAAGCATTTAATCCTTTAGAGGGCAGTGTAGCCCTTAGGTATTATTTTCTGTTTAACCGATTTTATTCAGCTGAAAGAAACCCCTGTCCTCTTGTTTAGTATTTGTTTTCTTAACACTCACTGTGAGGGAGATGGATTGAGTGGCGGTGGGCACGAACAGGTAACTACAGTTGAGTGGGCCCTCCACGTTCCAGAGGAGAGTGGTTGAGGGACCCCGCACAAGGCCCTGGACGGGGTTGGTGGCGCCGTAGAACATCACATCACACACACTCGTCGGCTTCTTTGTCCCTTCCAGCCGCGCTGCTCAACACAGTGATAGTCTCAGCATCTCTCAATAATGTTAACACAGTACCACCTGGTGTTAACTTCGCCCCATGTCATGTTAATATGATTTTATGTAACCCCTTTCAATGGCATCTCACAAAAAAATATTAGTAATAACACCTACAGTAATAACAATAGTAACTCTGCGCCTATCACCCACACACAAACTTGAATGAAAATCTGTTTATTTGGTCCGAGATTAGAGCATACACTACGACCTCATACGACCTAGACTTAATACTCTACCATTTGACCACCACACGACCACCATGCACTTTTAGCATACACAGATTGCATGCATCATCACCACACACGACTACCAATAGCTACTACCACACACACACACGACTACCACTGGCTACTACCACACACACACACGACTACCACTCGCTACTACCACACACACGACCACCACTCGCGCTAAAATACTCACGACTACCACATACACGACTACCACTCGCTACTACCACACACACGACCACCTACGCTCCCTACCACCAACACTACTCCCTACTACCAACACTACTCCCTACCACCAACACTACTCCTTACTACCAACACTACTCCCTACCACCAAACATTACTCCCTACTACCAACACTACTCCTTACTACCAACACTACTCCCTACTACCAACACTACTCCCTACTACCAACACTACTCCCTCCCTACTACCAACACTACTCCTTACTACCAACACTACTCCCTACTACCAACATTACTCCCTACTACCAACACTACTCCCTACTACCAACACTACTCCTTACTACCAACACTACTCCCTACTACCAACATTACTCCCTACTACCAACACTACTCCCTACTACCAACACTACTCCTTACTACCAACACTACTCCCTACTACCAACATACTACCAACACTACTCCCTACTACCAACACTACTCCCTACTACCAACATTACTCCCTACTACCAACACTACTCCCTACTACCAACACTACTCCCTACTACCAACATTACTCCCTACTACCAACACTACTCCCTACTACCAACACTACTCCCTACTACCCCAGGAACCATCACTACCACACAACAACACTCACAGTTATGGAAGTTGTAGCCGCCCACAAGGAACTGGTTAAGGTAGTCTGTACCGTGGCCGAGGTAAAGGGTCATCTCCATGGTGTTGCCTGACGAGAGAAAGAACTCCTGTTGCACGAATCTGCCTGAAGAGTCCCGAGGTTCCCTGCTCAGCGGTCCACACAATTTCCTCAACAGGTTGTCGCCCCCGTCACCCCTCAGTCCGTCATATATGGAAGCCTCAGACGAACATGATCTGCCGCTAACGAGTGGAGGAAGGTTGACTGGTTAGAGTGGGTCTCTCTCTCTCTCTCTCCTGCTGTGTGTATATAGTGTGTATGGCTCAATCTCTTTTCCTTTTAGATATATTTTTTTTCTTGCTTTCTCTCCCTCTCTTTGAGGTGTAGTTGTGCGTTAGTGTGAAGTGTGTCTGTGTAACAGTTTATATAAACAAGTGTATTTTAGTAGGCAAATATTGTACAACATCAGGAAATGAATTTAATACCCTACAGAAAAAGAGAGAGAGAGAGAGAGAGAGAGAGAGAGAGAGAGAGGGGGGGGGTAATATTATGAGCGTTCATCCAGAATAGTTTGTTATTAATGTTCGCGGAGGCAACAACAGCTGAATGCAATAAAGTTACTAAGACACTCTCGTCTACCTGTACTATCAGAAGACAAAAGGAACAGTTAAATATCAGGGCAAATTTGTTTTTCTTATAATAATCGTGTCCGAACAAAAAGAATAATACACTTATAATTATATTAACTAACAGATACAGATGTTGCCTCGATTGTTCATTAATTAGAAGTGAAGTAACATTTTATATAATTTCACATCCCCGGAAAAGACAATTTTATTAATACTGGTGAGATTCTTGTAAAGCATGTGGTTACCCATTTGTGTCTTGAAGCTTGTCTGTTTTAATGTTTGTGAGTGTCTGTTTCTATGAGTACCAGGCTTGCGGTGGTCTAGTGGAGACGGTGCTCGTCTTGTGTACCGTCACAGTGTACTCTACCCGCACTACCTGACTTGTGTACCGAAGGCGTAGAACATAGTGTACTCTACCCGCCCTACTCGCACTACCCGTGCTATCCGCACTATGAAAAAACTAAATATCAGGCCAGAAATTATAAACAAGGGGATTTATTTTGGAATGGATTAAGGCGAGAAAAAGTTGATGTTTAAAAATATCTTGGGATGCACATTGGGTATAAGTCCAAGAGTAAAGTGCGTGAGATGCAGTACCTGGAGAATGCCTGTAAAGGACGTTTGAGACCTTTAAGAGCTTTGGTATGGAAGGGAAATGGCGCAGGTATTCTTAAGGATGGTGTATATCAGTACAATACGTTCAATTATTAACTATACAGCTCCCATTCTTATAATGTATTGTAAGAAAGTTATTCAAAAGCTTGAAGTGATACAAAACGAGGCTATGGGAATTGTTTTAGGGTGTCAACGGAACACTAGAACTGAAATAATGACCGAAATAATGAGAATGGAGTTAGATTTACCAAGTATAGAACATAGAGTAAAGGAACTTGCTGTAGCCGATACTCTTAGGACCATTATGAGAGGAGATAATATAGGGTGTCCCGTACAATAATGTGCTTAAATGAAAGAACAGATCTTGACAATGTGTCCAAGTATGCAAGGCTATTGTATAATATTATGATGGAGTATGGAGTAGATAAATATTGCATTTCATTACAAACTTAATTAAGATTTAGACCATGGGAGGAAGGATGACTGCAGTAGATATTTTACAGCTTGAGGGGAAAAATGATGATTGGCATCCCAGTTATTTAAGAAATGTCTTTTAAGAGAAAATAAATAGTTTTACCAGGCGAAACACTGTACATATATATTGTGATGGATCGGTATTAAGTAACAGTCAAGCGGGATGTGGTGTTTTTATAAAGGAATATTTTATCAATGAGTGTTATGCAGATGAAACAGTTTGTAAAATAATTAGTAACAACACCCCATCCACACTGGCTGAACTACACGCAATATGTGAAGGACTCCAGGTTGCTATAGAAAAATGAAAAGAAACATATTTTTGTTCATAGTGAAAGAGCATTGGAAGCTTTGCAGAGTAAAAATCCGTGTAACTTTCATATTGTTAATATCTGTAAACGACTGGTCATAGTAATACAAGAAATGGAATGTACTGTGCAATTTGTATAGATTCCATCACATGTGGGGATTTATTTAAATGAAATGGCTGACAAATTGACCAAAAAAGCTGCAGAAAAGATGTATATAAACATTGTTAGCAATATAAGTATTAGAACGATAAAGAGGGAAATTAAAAGAAAAAGAGAGGAATGGGAAAAGCAAGAAGAGAAGTAATTGCCATATGTAGCGAGAGTTTTCAGCACTATTTGTATGTTTTACAGAACACCAATGTAACTTACGGGACTAACTTACCATCTGTTGATACTGTTATAATGAGACTAAGATTGGGATACAAATATTACTGGCAGGTAAGTGGAGGGGTGGGTCAACCTTGTCATCTGAGGGATGCTCATACACTACAACATTATGTATTAGGATGTGAAAAAATCCAACCATACAGGAACAGTGAGATCACGTCTTTAAAGAAACAAGTTTATTGGATGATTAATAATGGAAAAAATGTAAAGTAATTCTTGCAATGTAAAAAAATTTTGCTTCAAGGATATGACATTTAATTTTGTGTAGGATTACATTATCTGTTCTTTTAATGTAGTAGAGTGTTCATGTGAAGATTAAATATATCAGTGATGTAAAAATAATTATTGTATTAACATTTATAACTTTTTGTAAGCCCCAGAAGGGGATGGTGAAGGTGAGGGTGGGAGTATTATACTACCCTGTCCTTTTGGTGTAATAGTTTTATGGTCAATAAAGAATTTCAAATCTCACTAACGATCCTTTTCCTAGCTCGCGTTTCTAACAGTCTAACTCTGTATCCATTGACTCCTCGCATTCCTTATTTCTCGACAATTTAGTGAACTTCCTATCCCCTATCGCCAACACTTGCATGCATTTAAATGACCCCATCAATTAACACCTTATCTCGTAACAGTGAACCTTTCCCGTGTAGTTACTCAGATGTTCCCCAAATCTCTCTCTTTCCTCCTGCCTCCCCCTTTATCACCTTTACGCCTCTCACCTGTACCCAGCTTATTTCCCCTTTCATATTCACAAGACCAATACACCCAGTCCTTTAAACTCATCATAAATTCAGTCACATTCTCCTCATCGACCTTCTTACAGCCACGTAAATTAAAACAGTATAATCTTCTTATCATATCAGTAGTAATAATCACGACTAAACCATCTGTAATTATAGCATCATTGCCAAGATTTTCTCGTTTTTATGTTCCACTTAAGACCCAAGAAAGATTTATGAGTTACAGAATAATTACCATGTGCTAATCTGTCCTGAATACTCGACGCTGGAATTCTCAGTTTTAATTTCAAGTGAATTGGGTGAACAGCTGGAAAGAAGATGGTGAAAAAAGAGTGATGAAAGAAGAAAAGAAAAAGCAGAATTAATGGAATGTTAATTTTAATTGTGCTCTTTCTGTTGGCGGATCTAATAATAATAATAATAACTGAACTTACCAAGCATAACAAACTCTATTTAATAAAATAATTTGAAGAAAAAACTTACTAATAAATTAATCAGTGTGACCTTACCTAACCTGACCTAACCAAATTTGTGATTTATTTTACCTTTTTTAAGATAGGTTTGGTTAGGTTAGGTTAGGTTAGGTTAGGTTAGCTTAGGTTAGGTTAGTTGTTGCAATAGTGTAAAGTTGTGTAGTTTTACAGGAGGGGCCGTGTGCTTAGTGCCAGTGACCGGTGTTGTAGTACTGGGAGGAGGGACCGTGTGCTTAGTGCCAGTGACCCTTGTATAATGGGTCAGGGTGAAGGTAAAGTTAGAGAGGGTGGTAGTGAGCCATTAGGGAGGGCTAGCCACCCAAGCTAAGCAGTGTGACTGTATGTGTTAAGGTGAGCTAAAGGTTAGGTTAGGTTAGGTTGGGTTAGGCTAGGTTAGGAAGCTGTCCACAAGATAATAATCTACACCATTAGTCACACAAAATATGAATCCCTTATAAAATATTTTTACCTTGAAGCTATTAATGTCAGTCACTGGTTAACCTCTAGTGAAATGATTGAATCTTCATAAAGTTAAATTTGAAACTTTCTACAGATATTAAACTCTCATTCTAGGGATTCCCACATTTTAGTCACAATTCTGGAGCACTGTATTGAGTTCACTATACTGATGACCACTGAAGCTGAATGAAACATTAAGTATATTCTAAATCAAATTAACGAGCAATATAGCATTCAATATCTCAGTCGATGTTTGCTGGGCGGGGAAGCATTAACACTTGTCTACAATAGTTTACACCTCACCTAACCATACACTACAGAAAGCCTCGTGCAGTTAACACTAAATTGAGCCTCCTGTCGACAACGTCTTCTAACAACAATAACAACCCTTAAAAAAAAAAAACATCCTCAGCATATTCGTCAGCTTGAAAAACCTAGACTTTGAGGACAGAAATGCCGAGCTATGGACGACGCATTTGTCTCTAAGTCTGACAGTCATCTGATTTCGGAACCAAGATAATTGCCAATCAAGAAGAGACTCACTGACACCTGTGTTGTCACGGTCACACCACACCTGTACACAATACCAGGGACAGGAAACACGACACACAAATCTTCACAACATATCTCAAAATACTGTACACTTGTGTGAATATTAAAGTGTTGTTCTTGAAACACTTTTGTTGTCCTGTAACGTTAATAACTTTCATAAATCCGAATGTTCCTCCTCGTTAATCTCTTTTGTTATTAATTCATTCATTCTATTTTTGTATATTTGTCTGAATTCTTAAATAACAGAACTATTTGATTTGTGTTAACCTTTCCCCATATTTTTTCACTACTCCAAAATCCCTAATCAGGATTTACTTTTCCGTAAACAGATAAAAAAAAAAATTATATATATATATATATATATATATATATATATATATATATATATATATATATATATATATATATATATATATATATATTATATATATATATATATATATTTACGTTCAATTTCCACGTACTAGTTATATATTTCCATTCTCCAGGTTATGTTGTATATATTATACTATATTGTGTCAAATGTGAATTATAAAGCACCGTATATTACCACGTGTTACACCTCTCAGGGCTCACCCACGTAAACATAATAACTTAGTACAATACATCTTATATTATAAAATATTCTGTCGAAATAAACAGCTTGAGTTTTACACATTGACGAGAGTGAAGTGTACAAACACAACTTGTGGCTCGGCAGGGTTCAGGCTGGCACCGCTCAACTGGTATGTACAGTATACCGGTGTGATTAAAAGTTACTACTGTGTTCCCGAGTGATAGCGGGTCCTTTAGTGAAGCTTACCTATTGTACTCTGTAATGGAGGTCAGGCAAGCAGCTGCAGGTCAGGTTCATCTGACTTTACCTATTCATGTTACAGTTGGCAGCTTCCCACATGCCCTCTAGGCGTCGTTGGTTCGAATCCAACAGAGGCAATTGTGTTATGAGCGCAGTTTCAGTTGCTGCGTCAGCCGCGAGGCCGAGCGCCACGTATCACGGGCAAGGAGGGACAGTCAGCTCACAGTGTCAGCCGCGAGGCCGAGCGGCCGAGCGTCACGTATCACGGGTAAGGTGGGACAGTCAGCTCACAGTAACAGCCGCAGGACCGAGCGCCACGTATCACGGGTAAGGTGAAATGTCAGCCCAGTGTCAGCTGCGAGGCCGAGCGTCACGTATCACGGGTAAGGTGAAATGTCAGCTCAGTGTCAGCTGCGAGGCCGAGCGTCACGTATCACGGGTAAGGTGGGACAGTCAGCTCAAAATGTCAGTCTCGGGGTCGAGGCCGTATCACACAGATAAATATTAAAGAGACGCCTCTCTATATATCTGTGAACCTTGTGTGAACGTTTATAACAGCAGGTGAGGATGTGATTGTATTAACCCGCCCGGGTGAGTGTCAACACCCTCTACTGGAGGCAGTCTTACTACACTAACTTATCTTTTGTTTGGTCATACTAATTTACGGACTCTGAGCTTGTACAAGAACCCGAACTTTCTCACTAAAACCGTATCTTTCTTTAGGTTAGATGATGGTTGCAGAGTAAATACAGCTGTCGCCTCCTGTCCAGAGGATCGTTGGTTCAGTCCTCCCGGTCCTGCCAGCTGAAAATAGGCGCCTTATTTTAAAGGTGGGAAAGTGAAAAAGCCGGTCAAGAACAGGGCCAGACACACTGGCCCTTGTTTTGGAGGCAAGATATTTTGTACTGTCTCTACGCGTAGTAATGCCAATGGGACTCTCGTTCACCTCATAGGTCAAGTTAACGGTAAATTTTGACGGCAAAATTGTAATCGGTGGATCTATCAGCCATGTGTCACCTTGCGCCAATGTGATCCCGATAAATACTAAAAATAAAGTATTGTGGCGTGAGTATATGCTAGTACAGAGATTTAATACTGCCTCTTAACCTCTCATATTAGAACTCTGCATCTAAGAGTTACTTCAAGAATAAGTTCCCACCAAGGAGGTTGAATGGATAGAGACGGCATCCCTTCTGCCATGTATACTAGAACAGATGTGCGTGAAGCCAGGCTACCATCTTGGTTAAGGCAACATGGCAACAGTTGCCGCAGCTGTCCACAAACAAACGGTGGTTACAGATAATTCTGCAAGATTTATACAATTGTTTTATTATTACACACATTACAGTGAGATCTACTAAAGAGGTTGCAGTCACTGAGCGAGAAGCGCCGCCATATTGGTCAAGGCATCAAGTTGCGGTCAGTGGCTCACAACTGGCCTCTACTAAAAGGCCAACCAATAAACTTTATGATCCAGATACTAATGAAAAAACTCGCTAATCAAAACCACATCCTTAGTCCCTTTGGTGTTCACTAGCCATCATTGACAAGAGTGAGCAAAGATAACTAACATAAAAAAGACCTGTGATGGTGGGTGCAGGATGTTAACAATAACAAGTGTCGTCGCTCACTCACCCTAATTTGTACTTAAAGAGAGACACTTGGATGACGTCGTGCTGTTGACCGAGGAAGCGCAGGCAGCAGTGCTGGCCGCCCGGGCAGATGGCTGAGGTGTCGAAGATGCCTTCTCTGGTCTGGTTACTCCAGAAGACCTGGTCACACTGCTCCCCGCCCGTGTGTCCTGTCGGGTCACCTGTCAACCACAAACCCTACTTGTTTACTTAGAAGAGTTCATGAATCATCTGAAGATTACAGTAGACACCCCAGTATATTTCACGTGATCACTAAGTCCCATAACCAAACGGAGGAGTTAAGTGAGATTAGCGTTAAGTTAGGTTAGGTTAGGTTAGGTTAGGTTAGGTTAAGTTAGGTTAGGTTAGGTTAGGTTAGGTTAACGTTAGGGTGCCCAATCGTTATGTAAAATATGTTGGGGTGCTCAGTCTTCAGGTGATCAGAGTTCACTATACTGTCTGGTTGTGTGTACAGGGAGCCTTCCTATACAACGGCTGGGGTGGACGCCAGCAAGTATTGAATCTGTATTGAAATAAAAGTTTCTATGAATGTGAGTTTTATTTAGCAACTTACTTTTATACTGAACTTGAGACAACACAGTAACAAATTTTGGAATAATGTTCATGGAGTCTACAGCGGCCTCCTGCAGTTATTTCTGGCACCATACAACAGCTGGCAGCCAGCAGGAGGATAGCAAACATTCTCTTGATGTTTTTTTTCTGCGCTCGTATAATTGTGGGATGGAGGGTAAAGCTAGATGCTGTTGTTTGTTTTTGTTGGTGATTTGGTTCTGGCAGAGAGGAGTATCCCACAGGTGAGAGACAAGGTCAGGCGGTTTACAGTGGTCATATTATGACCTCATGCACCACATTCACCTCCCCCCCCATAAGAAAAAAAAGAGTCATACTGCCTCTCTTAACAAAATTCTAGTGTGTGCTACAGAACAGCAAAATGTTTGGGGGAAAAATAGTTACTGTGTATAAATTCAATCTAGGTGGGGTAAACTTTTCCGTATAAAAATATGAGATTTAGAAAGGCAGACAGTGGCGGGGAAGTGTGCCTTACCCTAGCGGCTACTCGGACGTGCGGTGTAAGAATTAAACTTTACTCTTTAGCTCTTAAGGTCACAGACACCTACAGACACACACCACCTACAGGATAAAAATTGACCTTAACCCTATCGCATATTAAGCGAGGTATATAGAAGAAAAAAGATAACATTTATAATACTAAAATAGAACAATAAATATTAGCAACAGGAAGAGTATAGGTCAATAAAATATATCACCAGGCGGCCGGATGTATTAAACAACACACAAACTGTTCACATGTAACCAGATGATGAACATGAGGACAAAGACTTGACGCTCAACTAAACGGGACTGACATAAAAACAACAGACAAATATTAAATCTATTTCTCGTTCGTTAACATTAAAACTTAAGACTTTATGCCTTTAATAACTAGTATTATAGAAAAATAAACATTAATAAACATTATCTAAAAACATTGTGGTCGATAAGATAACGCAAATGATATCTCAACAGCGGTGCTTCACATGTTTAGTCTCGCGTGTGTTCAGTATATCTGGTAGAAAAAAAAGCTGTGGTCATCTAGGGTGTGGGTCATCTCCCCTCTGGAAGTTCATGAACTATAACAAACTGTTGCATGTCGTAGCTTACCTCGCCTCCCCACCTGTGTGTGTGTGTCTGTGTGTGTGTGTGTGTGTGTGTGTGTGTGTGTGTGTGTGTGTGTGTGTGTGTCTGTGTGTGTGTGTGTGTGTGTGTGTGTGTGTGTTTAATAATGATAATAATAATTAACGGTTTATTGAAAGAGCATGGCAGCCGGAAGGCTGAAAATATACAGTTGCATAATTGAGGAATGGGTCTTTCGATTGATAAATAATGTGCAAGTAACATATGTGATACAAATATGATATATAATAACTAGGTGGGGAGAAGGTTATACTTCAGGGCATTTCAACATAGTGACAGTGCAAAAAGGTGATATTGACTGGGAGTGAATACACTGGTTGATTACAAGTTACTGATAATTTTTACAATGGTTGGGACTGGGGTGTTCTTATAGCTATCAGTGCGTGCTCGTATGGGCTGGATGCGGTTGTGATATCGAACAGCAATTTGCGGACGAGGGATCTCGGGTGGTAGTAGGAGCCGGTGTCGAGGATGGTACAGAAGCTTCTCCTTTTCAGAAGAGGTCTTGGTGATAGTCAGAGAGAGCCTAGAGGGTCAGTGTGTAGAGTGCTTCTTGATATGTGGAGTAGGAAGGGGAGAATAATCTTGCATGCCAGCTTTTGCACTTTTTCTAGGTGTTTACGTTGTGTGGCATTTAGGGAGGAAGACCAGGTAGGGGAGGCATAGGTGAGCTTGGAAAGTATGAATGTTGAGTAAACACTGAGGAGCTCGGGTGCAGGAACTCCGAGGGACTTGAGTCGGCGGAGGAGGTGGAGACGGAAACTGGAGGATTTGACCACTTCACTGACGTGTGGTTTCCAATTTAGTTTGTTGTCTATGGTGACGCCGAGGAGCTTCGTGGAATCTACAACCTGGAGTGTGTTCGGACCTAGCTGACCCACCTCAGCTATCCTCCATCCCTGGATGAGGTAGCTACTGCCATCAAACAGATGAAAATTAACAAAGCTTCAGGGCCTAATGGAATCCCAGCCGAGGTGGATAAAGCAGGAGGACCTCTGCTTACCAGCCGTCTCCACTCTCCTGGAGAATATATGGGAAAAGGAGGGAATCTCCCCCAGCTCTTAAAGATGCCTCAATTGTCAATATTTAAGAATAAGGGAGACCGGTCAGACTGCGGCAACTACCGTGGGATCTCGCTGCTCTCCGTAGCTGGCAAGATTATCGCCCGAGTCCTCCTAAACATACTCCTTCCTGATAAGGAAAACTTCCTCCCAGAATCTCAGTGAGGTTTTAGACCATCACGTGGCACCACTGACACGATCTTTGCTGCCCGCCAGATACAGGAAAAGTGCAGAGAACAGCATCGTTACCTGTACATGGCTTTCATTGACCTAACCAAGTCCTTCGATCCGGTCAACAGGAACCCCTCTAGTGGACCCTCAGCCATTTTGGCTGTCCAGCGAGACATGGGTCACATACAGGAGGCACCTCGAGGCACTTGAAAACTTACACCAATGTAGTCTAAATTCCATCGTCCGAGTTCACTGGGAAGATAAGTGAACAAATGCCGGTATTCTTGCTGACACCAACTATAGGAGCATCGAAACTACCATTATCCATGAACAATTACGGTGGACTGGCCATGTTACGCATGGACGACAGTAGATCGCCAAAGCAGCTACTTTACAGTCACCTAACGAATAGTAAATGTAACACCGGCGTGCAACTGAAAAGGTATAAGGATAGTCTTAAGACAAACCTGAAAACGTGCCAAATCAACCCTCTTACCTGGGGCACGATTACTCCATATCGTAACGCTTGGAGGAGCACCACACGAGAAGGTGTCACTACTTTCGAGTTAGCCCGACTGCAAACCGAGGCAGATAAGCGCCAACGTTGGAAAGACGCTGCCACCGCACCCTCCCGGACTAGATGCAGCCCTCAACATGTGCAACGACTGTGGACGACCTTGCGGCCCCGTATCGGCCTCTTTAGTCACCTCAAAACTCACCAACCTAGGTGACAAACTTAATAACTCATATCATTGAATCATTGTTGGATGATCGTCATACTCGATTCCGAGTGACAGCAAAGGCGATATTTTAACATTGAGGTTGATATTTTAACATTGGAGATGATGATTTAACATTAAAATTATAATTTAATCCCTTTAAGACGATCATATAACCCTTTTATGACGATGATTAACCCCCTTAGGGCGATGATTTAACCCCTTTAGGACGGTGGTTTAACCCCTTTATGACGGTGGTTTAACCCCTTTAGGCCGATGTTTTAACCCTTAAGGATGATAATTTAACCCCTTTATGACGATGATTTAACCCTGTAGGCCGATGTTTTAACCCCCTTAGGAAGATGATTTAACCCCTTTAGAACGATGATTTAGCCCCTTTAGGACGATAATTTAACCCCTTTATGACGATGATTTAACCCCCTTAGGGCGATGATTTAACCCCTTTAGGACGATAATTTAAACCCCTCTAGAACGATGATTTAACCCCTTTAGAACGATCACTTAACCCCTTTAAAAATTATCTCAAAAGTTAATGACAATAAAAATAATAATAATTAAAACATATACACAAGAAATAAATGAAATCACGTAAATAAAGTAAATATATAGACTAAAGTGAGATAAGCTTAAATAAGCCTTCAGAACACACGCAAGCCACACGTCTTACTACACTAAGTCTGGCTGGTGGAGTTTTAGCGGAAGTTAGTAAGAGGAGAAGACTTGCTAAGAAAAGTACTTGAAGTTTGGATTATACTCGTGGCTGTGTTAGAAGTTCGTTAAAGTTCTCACGAGTGTACATTCCTGAGGCATACTATGGTGAGGAGAGAGAGAGAGAGAGAGAGAGAGAGAGAGAGAGAGAGCAATTTTATCTGCAGTAGAGCGTCAGGTAGGTTAGGTTAGGTTAGGTTAGGTTAGGTTAGGTGTTTTATAGGTCAAGTATCATGAGTAAATTAATTATCGTTTTTTTTCCCTTTAACAGGCGAGTTATGTGTCAAGCAACGATGGAGGCAGATATTGGAGAGAGTCAGTTTAATAGTCATGTACGGAAAGCCAGATACAACTCACCGAGATGTGACAAATGAATGACATACAGACATACGTTGAATTATAGTCCACATATTCATGGTTTGAAACTTAATGGTGTACAGTACGGTCTATAAATAAATAAGTAAATAAATAAATAAATAAACAAATAAATATAACATGCTATTAATAAACTTTTCAATATAACAAATAAATAGATATCCCATTGTAATCTCTGCCACACCCTGTAGCTTCCAGAAAACGAACATAATCTTCAAAAGAACCATTAAATTTACAATGGTTCCGGAATATCTAATCCTCTGGAAGACAAACAATAAATACCCATCTGGGACACAACTAACCTGGCATCCTCCTTTACACACATCAGCTGGAAGTCTTCTGGACCATTTCACCCAGCTTCATTCCCCACACCTCACCACACCCACACCCCACCACACCCACACCCCTACCACACCCACACACCTCCACCACACCCACACCCGCCACCACATCTACACACCCCCACCACACCACACTCCCCACCACACCCACACCCCCCACCACACCCACACCCCCACCACACCCACACCCCCCACACCCCACACCCCCCACCACACCTACACTCTCACCACACCCATCACACACCTACACCTCACACACAACCTACACTTCTCACATCACCTCTACACTTCACATCTCACCACACCCACACTTCACCACTCCACACCCACACTCCACACCTCACACCCACACCTTCTACCACACCTCACACACACACACTCTCACCACACTATCATCCCCCACCACACTATACACTCTCATCATTCACTCCACACTCCACACTTCATCATTCACACCTACACTCCCCACTAGACTATACTACAACACAACTAAACTCGGATAAGGCAAGACCATTCAGGTACTACATATCTAATATAACTATCCATAGGCACCATTACACTTGAAAACTTCTTGAACACAACCAAACTAGAACGATCTTAGAACACAGCTAAAGTAGAACCATCCAGGAAAGCAACTAAATTGGTACGCTTCTCAAGACGGTAATCTGCCCGGAACTGCCATAGTTGGACTGTATAAATACAAGTGTGTTTGCTTGGTTCCTTATCTCCGGGTTACAGGGAGACTGGAAGCTGTGTGTGTTAGTGGGACTCGCCTGTGGATACGTCTCAGCTAGTTCATCAATATTCCAACACAACCCGTAATTATATAACGATATAATATTGCTTACGAGTTCACAGCAAGAGGATTTAATGCTTATAATGATGTAGGTGTAGCATAGTTTGTGTGGTGGGGGGAGTGTAGGTGTGGTGGGAAGTGTAGGGTGTGGGGAGGGGGTGTGGTGGGGAGCAGTGGGTGGGGAGTGTAGGTGGTGGGGAGTTTGTGTGGGAGTGTAGGTGGTGGGGGAGGCATGTGTGGTGTGGGGGAGGTATGTGGTGGGGAGTGCATGTGGTGGGGGAGGCATGTGTGGTGGGGAGTGGGAGTGCATGTGGTGGTGGGGGAGGAGGTGGTGGGGAGTGTAGGTGTGGTGGGGGGAGTGTAGGTGGTGGGGGTAGTGTAGGTGTGGTGGGGAGTGTAGGGGTGTGTGGGGGAGTGTGGGGTGTGGTGGGAGAGGGTGTGGGGGGAGTGTAGTGTGGTGGGGGAGGGGAGGGGGGGAGTGTAGGTGGGGGAGGAAAGGTGGTGTGGGAGGGGTGTGGGTGGGGAGGTAGGTGTGTGGGAGTGTGTGGGGGAGCTTGATGCTCAGGGGGAGTGTGGGTGGGGAGGTGTGGTGGGGAGGTAGGGTGTGGTGGGGGAGTGTAGGTGTGGTGGGGGAGGTAGGTGTGGGTGGGGAGACAGGGTGTGGTGGAGGTAGGTGGTGGGAGTGAGGTGTGGTGGGGGAGTGTAGGGTGTGGTGGGGGTGTGTAGGTGTGTAGGGGAGTGTAAGTGTGGGGAGTGTAAGTGCAGGGGAGGTAGGTGGTGGGGAGTGAGGTGGTAGGGGAGTGTAGGTGTGGTAGGGGAGTGTAAGTGTGGTAGCGGAGTGTAGGTGTGGTAGGGGAGTGTAGGTTTGGTAAAAGTGGGTCACAAGGGCATGACAGTGTGGATACATCACACTGTACTGTATACTACGCCTTTGGTACACAAGGAGGTAGTAGGTAGTAGGCAGCTACCAAACAGGGAGGTACTACAGCCTGGGAAGATATTGGAAGCATAATGTATTGTCTAATGGTAGACCCTGCTGCCATATGGCACCACGAAAATTGTGACCAAGTCCCAGGTTGCTGATCTGACTTTCTGTCTCATTTACACACAATTGCAGAGTCTCAGTTGTTTCTCTTACTTTGACAACACAACAGACACATAAGTCGTTTCTCACCATTGATCTGTTTATTTTTTCCATTTCATATTTTATTTTTTGTTCAATTTATTTTTTCACCCCCCCACACCCTGATGTGGATCGGTGACATGTGCCCAGGTGGGCTAATCCCTTACACTCGTAGGTGTAGTAGGAGAGTGTATACACGACTGGATTGTAAAGTGATCTTGGAATGACCAATTCTGAACATAGTTCCTCAGGTGGAGAATATATCATTCCTTGAGGCCACACACGTTAACTAACATGGTACCAACAGACGCTTCAACCATATCCAAAGTTATCACGGCATTGGGGAGGCGTCAAGCTTATGTTTATAACGTAAGAACCCCATCTTAACTTACCTACCATGGCAGCCTAAACTTTCCCCACGGTGCTGAAAGACTGAAGCAAGAATTTTTTAGATCACATTATCAGGGTGAGGTAAACCGTGGGTGGTGATACAGAGGTTTCCTGAAGTAAGGGACCCGGGCGGCTGTGGGTGATGAAGTAAGGGATCAGGGCAGCTGTGGGTGGTGAAGTAAGGCATCAGGGCAGCTGTGGGTGTTGAAGTAAGGTATCAGGGCAGCTGTGGGTAGTGAAGTAAGGGATCAGGGCAGCTGTGGGTGGTGAAGTAAGGGATCAGGGCAGCTGTGGGTGGTGAAGTAAGGGATCAGGGCAGCTGTGGGTGGTGAAGTAAGGTATCAGGGCAGCTGTGGGTAGTGAAGTAAGGTATCAGGGCAGCTGTGGGTGTGAAGTAAGGTATCAGGGCAGCTGTGGGTGATGAAATATGGTATCAGGGCAGCTGTGAGTGGTGAAGTAAGGTATCAGGGCAGCTGTGTGTGGTGAAGTAAGGTATCAGGGCAACAGCATCATTCTAAATACCTAATTAATTAATCCATTGTTACGATAGTGGCGTTTCACTCAGTTAATTCCTAATACCTCTATTGAATCAAAGGAGACATGCAACCTTGTTTTAACACCAAGTATCCTAACACAATGGAAGGCTGAGTGGTGAATCCAACACAAACATCACGAGCCGGATTGAATTACTTCCTGATAAAGAGAAGAGTAAGCCAAATCATACCTGTACTGTTATAATATGTTCCTATATACAGTATAATATTTCTTTATTAACTGACGTGTGTAAGTTTCTAGTTGGCATCACAAAAATTTTAACCAAGTCCCAGGTTGCTCATCTGACTGACTTTCTGCCTCATTTACACATAATTGTAGGGTTTCATTTGTTTTTCTTAATTTGACAACACAACATATATGTATTGTTTCTCACTCTAGATTTGTGTTATTTTTTTCCTTTTCTGTATTTATTTATGATACACGAGGAGCCTAATCTCCAGGTGACCCCAAACTACATGTAAGAATGAACTAATAGTAGTAGGTCATATATCTGAAGGTAAACCAGTACAGTACGTGTATATAGAGTGAGGGCGGTAGGGAGATGTACTGTAGTGTACAACCAAAAATTAAATTAAAAACGAAAATAAAAACAAATAATGACATGCAAGACAATCTGAACACCCGGGAGTGAGCGTTAGTTGTGTTGTGACCTTCGGGGTTTTTTGACTAAATATTATAGTTTCCAGAGCTCAAAAAGTTATAATAGTTGTATTCCGGAACTCCCAAACTAAACCATTGAGGCCGCTGTGTAGCACTTGTTTATATGCTAATATATGCCACAGTCTGCACCGCCTAATATACTTAAAACAACAATCCCGAGTACAAAACTTATTACTCCCGTCACTCCTCACACCACGAGTACAGTAGTACACAGTGTTGGTAACACTGTACTCACCACTAGTACACAGCGTTGGTAAGACTGTATTCACCACTAGTACACAGCGTTGGTAGGACTGTATTCACCACTAGTATACAGCGTGGCTTCAGTATCAATGATTGGTTATTGAACATTCTTTAGAGTCAAATATTTTACGATTTTATGAATTGTAACATTTTGCAGTTTTTTTTCGTCTTATATCTGATGAAACCGAGAAACAGTGATGACCATCAAGGTCTAGCAGTATAGTGGCGAAGAAAAGCTTATATATAATACACACAATACCTCACTAGCCAGGAATCGAACCCAGGATCTGTGCGTGTGAACAGGGGTCGCTGCCACGGCACCACAAGGACAACAAAGCAATTCTAGGCTTTGTTTTATTTCACACAAAGCTTGTCATTCGTCTTATTCTGAATTAAGCAATGTGAGCATCCACCGGGGATTGCCCTGCCAACTATGTGGTCATAGTAGCGTTTTATAGACACCCAGCTAAGAAAAGCGCGGCTACCAGTATATCTGACCAGTTATTATACTGTATACAAGAGGTGCAGCTGTGACAGGGAGAAGGGGTTTATTAAAGAAGCACAGGTTTGTGTATCTCATGAAGGTGTATTAAATCTGTACACTTTCTAAGAAAGTGTGTGTACTGTACATACTGAGGATGTGTGTACTAATAAGGGTGTGTACATGCTAATGAAGGTGTGTGTGTACATCTAGAAGAATATAAAGAAACAGAGGGAATGTGTGTATGTGTATATGTACTGAGACTGTGTACACCTATTGTATGAATGGAGAACTGGCTGGGTGGCGGGGGTGAGGAAGGGTGTATGTGTACAGAGCGAGCGTGTTTATACACTTCTTCACGACATTTGCGTGTGTGTGTGTGTGTGTGTGTGTGTGTGTGTGTGTGGTGAGGGAGGGTGTGTGGGTGAGGGTGTGTGGTGGTGGTGAGGGAGGGTGTGTGGTGGTGAGGGAGGGTGTGTGGATCAGGGTGTGTGGTGGTGAGGGAGGGTGTGTTAACATACTTACTGAGAGTGTGTGGGTTAGGGTGTGTGGTGGTGAGGGAGGGCGGCTGCGGCAGACCCACGACACCGGAGAAGTCAATGGTGGCATGAAAGCCGCTGTACTTGTAGGGCGGGAGGTGTGGCCCCGAGCTGCGGGAGGGAAGGAGGTAAAACAAGTGGGTCAGTTTCTTCTCCTTCAGGGACCTCCTGCAGTCACTATAACACACACACACAAGCTTATCATCGTCACTATAACACACACACAAGCTTATCATCGTCACTATAACACAAACAAGCTTATCATCGTCACTATAACACACATATAATCTTATCATCGTCACTATAACACACACACAAGCTTATCATCGTCACTATAACACACATATAAGCTTATCATCGTCACTATAACACACATACAAGCTTATCATCGTCACTATAACACACATATAATCTTATCATCGTCACTATAACACACACACAAGCTTATCATCGTCACTATAACACACATATAAGCTTATCATCGTCACTATAACACACATACAAGCTTATCATCGTCACTATAACACACATACAAGCTTATCATCGTCACTATAACACACATACAAGCTTATCATCGTCACTATAACACACATACAAGCTTATCATCGTCACTATAACACACACACAAGCTTATCATCGTCACTATAACACACATATAAGCTTATCATCGTCACTATAACACATACAAGCTTTTCATCGTCACTAAGGTTGAAATCCTGATGTGAAGGCAAAACAAAAAGATCACCTGAAGATTAGACACCCAAGCTGACTAACATAACATAGCATTACATAAGATAATTTAATCTAACCTAAACTTAACCTAAACCTAACCTAACCTAACCAAATCTAACCTAACCTAATCTAATCTAAACTAACCTAACCTAACCTCCCCAGGTAGCATTAGTGTTTTTAATCATCAGGTAAAATAAGTTGGGGCGTCTAATCTTCAGGTGATCCAAAGTTTCGAACTCTAGCTACACATCTCCAGCCGTAGTCTCTCTCTCTCTCTCTCTCTCTCTCTCTCTCTCTCTCTCTCTCACTAATTTCTGACCCACCTAAACGAAACTCTTCAACCTGTTTATCTTTATAAATAATAATAATAGATAAACAGTTCAGTAAATCGTTCTTTAATCAGTCAATCTTAAATACCACAATATAATTTCTATTGTTCCCTTAGACAACAAGTGTATAATACCACAAGATACTTCGCCTAACTCTAATGACCAGCTCCATCTCTTAAACAGATTCTTCCTTAACCCATCATAACACATATATAAGCATTTACACACTCACAATCACACTACAGAAACAATTCACACTCACAATCACACCACAGAAACAATTCACACTCACAATCACACGCACAAACGCATTTACACTCACAATCACACGCACAAACACATTTACACACTCACAATCACACGCACAAACACATTTACACACTCACCACACGCACAAACGTATTTACACTCTCACAATCACACGCACAAACACATTTACACACTCACCACACGCACAAACGTATTTACACACTTACAATCACACGCACAAACACATTACATATAGAGGCAGACACATAGCATAGACCCATTATCACAAACACGTTCACACATACATACAAACACATTTACCCACATACCAACTACACATTGACACATACAAATACACATTTATACACATACAAACATACGGTTATATTCAGCCATACACAAATACACATTCACACACATACAAAACACATATTCATACGCATGGAAACACATATATAATTATACAAACTCATATTAACTATCAAACAAACGAACATTTATCCAGGCGTAAATTATTTCCCATGGATTTTTTTTTTAAACGATCCAATGAAGACTTGACCTGTAGTACAGTAAATCAGATTGTAAATAGATTTTAATCAGCCATTGGTATATATTGTCCTCTAACACCAGCTTACACCAGGTATTAAACAGCCATTGGTATATATAACACCAGGTAACACGAGAGAGAGAGAGAGAGAGAGAGAGAGAGAGAGAGAGAGAGAGAGAGAGTGTGTGTGTGTGTGTAACTGCCCCACTCTCCGTAATTAGGAGAGGGACAGGAAGATAATTAGACAAACTTAATGTGTTCAGAGGCTCTCACTTAGCTCGCCCAGGTCAATGTTGCTGGCATTGTCCACTCCTGTATCTGTATTCTTCTGGGTTAATAAACTGTTTTAATATCAAGACATAGAGACAGACACACAGAGATAAGAGAACCAGGCAGAGACAGAGAGACATAGAGATAAGAGAACCAGGCAGAGATAGAGAGATAAAGAGACAGATAGAGACAGAGATAAGTGAACCAGGCAGAGAGAGAGAGAGATAAGGAGACAGATAGAGATATAGAGAAAATGACACAAAAAGACAGAGAAACATACAAAGATATAGAGACAAACTGACAGAGAAAGAGACAGAAAGAGACAGAAACCTACCTGAAGTCTAGGAGAACGCTGGGGCCAGAGAAGTGAACTGTTCTCTTGTCGGCGGCACAGAGGGAGTCGATGAGAGGGGAGGAGGTGGAGGTGCCCGCGTACATGGCCACGAAGTCCGTGGAACACCGTCTGTAAGACAAGTCCACACAAGTGGTTTAAGACTCTCCTTCTATGTCTGTCTGTATGCGTTAAATTTTGTGTGTGTGTATGTCTGTCTGTATGTTTTAATGGTTTTGCATTTCGGTCTGTCTATGATTGTGTAAAGTTGATGGACTAATATATGCAGTATAGTTAATGACACACACACACACACACACACACACACACACACACACACACACACACACACACACACACACACACACACACACACACACACACACACACACACACACACACACACACACACACACACACACACACACACACACACACACACACACACACACACACACACACACACACACACACACACACACACACACACACACACACACACACACCAAATAATGCGTCTCTCAGGTCAACTTCCCTAGTACAGCAACAAGCCATTATAGCATTGTTGTTTCAGTTACAGAGTATAAGCGGGTAGATGTTGCTGTTAACTCACAGTATGATCAACTAAACCAGTCTTCTTTGTGTCTCATGTTAAAAAATGTTTGGCTCACCTGCATATTAGACACTCCAGCTTATTTCACCTGAAGATTAACCACTCTAATGCTAGCCAAACCTGACCTAACTTAATCCTAACCCCTTCTCCACTCCTAAGTTAACGTCAGGGTAGTTTCAGGTGGATCCAGTGTTCAATAAATGTTAAAGAATTTATCATTTATATATACTGGAGTTTATCTTAAGGCATTGTTCGTGTGTCTACGAGAAACCATCACCTCATATTCTATCTGTAAGTGGCAGCAGACGTTCACTAATTCGGTGTAAAACATCATTCCTCTCCTCTGATGCCATCCATTGATACCTTACCTGGTTATAATGGACACACAGGTGAGCTTTAGGATATTGTTCACTTTATCGGGGCTCGGTGAGTGTGTGTCATTTTTCTAACACTGTTTTAGTGTCGATAACTGACCCCTTGCTTGCTGGGGGACTGTGGGGGGCGGGGGAACACTGCGAGGGGTGGGGGGGCTGTGGGGATTGGGGAACTGAGGGAAGACTGGGAGCGGGACAATGTGGGAGGGGATTGGGGGTGACAAGGGAGACTGGAGGACTGTGGTGGGCCAGGTGGGACTAGGGGACTGTGAGTGATTTTATGGGACAGGGGAGACTCTTCACCTGATACAAGACGGACAAGTAACAGCTGACAACCGCTTGGTATAATGAGTCCCCACTGGGTATAACGAGTCCCCACTTGGTATAATGAGTCACCACTGGGTATAATGAGTTCTCATTGGGTATAACGAGTCACCACTTGGTATAATGAGTCACCACTTGGTATAATGAGTCACCACTGAGTATAATGAGTCACCACTGGATATAATGAGTCCCCACTGATATGATGAGTTACCACTGGGTATAATGAGTCATCACTGGGTATAATGAGATACCACAGGGTATAATGAGTCACCACAGGGTATAATAACTCACCACTGGGTATAATGAGTTAGCACTGGGTATAATGACTCGCCACGAGGTGTAATGAGTTACCACTGGGTATAATGAGTCACCACTTGGCATAATGAGTCACCACTGGGTATAATGAGTCCCCACTGATATAATGAGTTACCACTGGGTATAATGAGCCACCACTGGGTATAATGAATCACCCGGTTGTTCGCGTGTTGAGGTGAACAGTGTTGTAATAATGATAATGCTAACAATGATAATCACACTATTTCTACTACTACTACTACTACTACTACTACTACTAAGAGTGACTAAACAACACATTTCCAAGTTACTTATGTTTATACACCATGAAACACAGGAGAAAAACAAGATGTTATTTGTTAATATGAATTACAGGAATGACCTAAAGTTCTTAAACACTACTTTTTGATAAGGTAATTAGAGTACTGTAATACACTACGGCTCATATATTTTATTGTAATGATGAACATGTGTATTATTGGTGGCATTAAAATGGTTCAACTTACAGAGGGGGGGAGGAGATTTTAATGAGGTTCCTGGAGAGACAGACAGACAGACAGAAAAACAGACAGACAGGAAGATAGATAGATAGACAGACAGACAGAAAGACAGACAAACACACAGACAGACAGACAGACAGACAGGAAGATAGATAGATAGACAGACAGGCAGACATAAAGACAGACAAACACATAGACAGACAGACAGACAGACAGGAAGATAGAAAGATAGATAGACAGACAGACAGAAAGACAGACAAACACATAGACAGACAGACAGACAGACAGACAGACAGACAGACAGACAGACAGACAGATGACTTTAATGAGATTCCTGTAAAAGATTAAATAAAGGCTCCCAAAATAAAAAAAAGTAAAGTAAGCTTACTGTGGGTGTAGGTCCATGGTGAGGAAGGTAATGTTGCCTGAAGTATCGGGACTGGACATGACCAACAGGTAGCGACAGCGGGCGTGGGCGGGGTACATGCCGGGGTAGCCAGGGGAGGTCACCTGACACTCACTCCTTCTGCTGCAGTGTACGTCCTGATACACCCAGTCACACGCTGTTTACACGTAGAGGTATGTAATGTACTCCTGAAACTGCACCACTTTACACCTCAACTTGTACACCCTACGCAATACACCTGAACTGGTACACCCGAAATGCTACCCCTCAACTTGTACATCCGACATAATACTCCTCAAACTGTACACCCTACATAATACACCTCAAGTGGTACACCCTACATAGTACATAAGAACATAAGAACATAAGAAAATAAGGAGTCTGCATAAGGCCGGTTGGCCTGTGCATGGCAGCTCCTGTCGAGAGTTACTACCACTCTCTATCATCCATGAATCTATCTAGCCTCCTTTTGAAACTTTTCAGAGTTCCCGCACTTACTACAAAGTTGCTAAGCTTGTTCCACTCGTCCACCACCCTATTTGTGAACCAGTTTCTTCCTATCTCCCTCCTAAACCTAAACTTATCCAACTTGAATCCGTTGCTCCGAGTCCTATCCTGCTCGGATATTATAAGAACTTTATCTATATCCCTTTATTGATTCCTTTCACCCACTTAAATACTTCTATCATATCTCCCCGCACTCTTCGTCTTTCTAGGGAATGCAAGTTAAGTTTCTTTAACCTATCCTGATATGGAAGGTTTCTAAGTCCCGGAATCATTTTTGTCATTCTTCGCTGCACCGACTCTAGTGAATATATATCCATTCTATAATAGGGGCACCAGAACTGAACCGCATAATCGAGGTGCGGCCTGACTAGTGCAAGATATAGTTGCAATAAGACCTCTGCACTCTTGTTACTTAACACTTCTAGATATAAAACCCAATACTCTGTTTGCCTTATTTCGAACATTAACGCACTGTTTTCTAGGCCGTAGGTCCGGGCTTACAAGTACTCCTAGGTCTCTTTCACAAGTCGACTTCTCTAGGTTGATGTTGTTAAGGCTGTATACATTATCAGTATTTGTTCTTCCAATATTAAGTACGCTGCACTTGCTGGTGTTGAATTTCATTTGCCATTTTTCAGACCACCCCTGCAGTTTACTTAGATCCTCCTGTAATGCATTTGCATCCTGCCCTGAATTTTATCCAGGTATGATACAATGATATGAGTTATTAATGATGTCACCTTCGTTGGTGAGCTCTGAAGTGAGTAGAGAGGCCGATGAGGGCCCGGCAGGGTCGTCCACAGATGTTGCACGTGTCGAGGGCCACATCTAGTGTGGGAGGGGCAGCGGCAGCGTTTTTCCGGCGTTGACGCTTGTCTGCCTCGGTATGAGTCGACCTATCTCGAAAGTATTGACACCTTCACGTGTGGTGCTCCTCCAAGCGTTACGGTGTGGAGTAATCGTCTCCCAGGTGAGGGGGTCGATTTGGCACTTTTCCAGGTTTGTCTTAAGACTATCCTTATACCTTTTCAAGTGCCCGCCGGCGTTACGTTTATTATTCGCTAGGTGACTATAAAGTAGCAGTCTACTGTCGTCCATGGCCAATCCAACTCGGAGGATAAAACATAGACTACGTTGGTGAAATTTTTTGAGTGCCTTGGGGTTCATCTTGTACAGTATGTGACCCATGTCTAGCTGCCATATAGTAGAATGGGAAGGACCACTGCTTGATATATATGTAACTGCAGATAATTTCAGCTACCTACAGCTGAAGACACGGGTGCAGAGTTTGCCAAAAGCTTCAGATGCACATCTGATCCAATGCTGAATCTCGACATCGATGTTCGCAGTGGTGGACTGGTGGGAGCCGAGATACTGAAAGTGGATAACAGAGAAGGTGAAGGTGTGTGTGAACCAAGGGCAGGTTGATAGAGAATCTGAGTCTTACGTAGATTCACCTCAAGGCCGAAGTGTGCATAAGCTTATGTGTAGGTGTTCAGGATCTCCTGTAGGTCGCATTCAGTGTGAGCGACAAGGGTGAGGTTGCCTGCATACTGAAGCTCAATAATGGAAGCTGCCGACACCTTTGTTCCTACCTGGAGTCGTCTTATATTGAAAAGACCCTTCATCCAGTACTTGATGTCCACCCCGCCGACTAAATTGGCACTGGCACGAGTAAGGAAGACAGCCAAGAAAATGGAAAAGAGATTTGGTATCAGTACACACCCTTGTTTAACCCCCGTTTGGATGGGGCTGAACTCAGGCTGGGTGGCGATGGATTTTGGTGGGCAGCCAAAACGGCTGAGGGTCCGCCAGAGGGCTTCCCTGTTGATCGAGGCGAAGGCCTTGGTTAGGTCGATGAAGGCCATGTACAGGTCCCGAAGCTATTCTCTGCACTTTTCCTGTATCTGGCGGGCAGCAAAGATCACGTCAGTGGTGCCACGTGATGGTCTGAAGCCACATTGAGATTCTGGGAAAAAGTTTTCCGCCTCAGGAAGAAGTCTGTTTAAAAGGAAGACTAAGGCGATAATCTTACCAGCTACGAACAGCAGCGAGATCCTACGGTAGTTGCCACAGTCTGACCGGTTTCCCTTGTTCTTATAAATATTGACGATGGAGGCGTCACCACCACCACCATAACTACCACCACGATCACAACCATATCCACCATTACTATCACTACCAACCACACTACCATCTCCACCACCATCATCTCTCCATCGTCACTACCACCATTAACACCACTACCATAATCACCATCACCACTAAGACCATTGCCACAGCTCTACCACCACCACATCCACCACAGCCACCACCACCTCCATCACCGTCACCACAACCACCAAATCCCCAATCGCCGCTGGCGCCGCCAGGTGAAATAAACGAGGATAGCCAATCTTCAGGTGAAATAAACGAGGATATCTAATTAATATTCTAGTGAAATATGCCGGATACCTAATGTTCAGGAATCCATTGTAAATAAGAGTAAAACATCCATGTTTTTGTATCGGCCGCTGAGACAATGCGCCTGGTATTATCGTGCACCAGTTACCCTCAATAACACGAGAAGGAAGCTGACATAAGGTGGTGGTTGTCAACAATAGCATGAGATTTGTATACCCAACCTTTTGTGCTCCTCTATGGCTTCCCCGTCTACTCTACCAATAACAAACAGCTGCTGTATACCTCTTAATACAGTCTCTGGATGATACTGTATGTGTATTAACCTCATAATGCTGGATGACATTAACACAGACAATAAAGATAACTTGTTAACATTAACCTGAAACACATGGATGACACTGTAACATGCTGTTTGGGGTCTAATACAACACCAGGTTATATTCAGTCCTTTATGTACGTCACAGTTTTACCGCTGATACTTGGTGTGACGTCATCAAGCACTCAAGCAGGTGTGTGGGAAGCATTATGCAGGAATTTATACCATTTAATAAAATAATGAAAAAATAATAATATTTGTGTATTTCATTAATCTTTGTTGTGAAAATCAAACCTGTGAAATCTATGGGTGACATTTAGAAGGAAATGTCTGACCATCTGAAGATTAGACACTCCAACTTATTTCACCTGATGATATAACAAACTAACCTAACTTAACATACACTAACCTAACCTAACCTAACCTAACCTAACATACCCTAACGTCCGCAGGTAATGTTAGTGTGGTTAATCTTATGATAAAATATGCTGGAAGGCGAATCTTCAGGCAGTCCAAAAGTTTTCATTTGGGTGAAGTGGACGTGAGGTGATACAGTAGGGTGAAGGGGACGTGAGGTGATACAGTAGGGTGAAGTGGACGTGAGGTGATACAGTAGGGTGAAGAGGACGTGAGGTGATACAGTAGGGTGAAGGGGACGTGAGGTGATACAGTAGGGTGAAGGGGACGTGAGGTGATACAGTAGGGTGAAGGGGACGTGAGGTGATACAGTAGGGTGAAGGGGACGTGAGGTGATACAGTAGGGTGAAGAGGACGTGAGGTGATACAGTAGGGTGAAGAGGACGTGAGGTGATACAGTAGGGTGAAGAGGACGTGAGGTGATACAGTAGGGTGGAAGTGGGCGTGAGGTGATACAGTAGAGATTATGAAGAGGACGTGGTGATACAGTAGGGTGAAGTGGACGTGAGGTGATACAGTAGGGTGAAGGGGACGTGGTGATACAATTAGGGTGAAGAGGACGTGAGGTGTCCTAGTAGAGATTGAAGAGGACGTGAGGTGATACAGTAGAGATTGAAGAAGGACGTGGTGATACAGTAGAGATTGAAGGGGACGTGAGGGTGATACAGTATTGGGGTGAAGAGGACGTGAGGGTGATACAGTAGGGTGTAGAAGAGGACGGTGAGGGGTGATACAGTAGGGTGAAGTGGACGTGAAGAGGTAGGGTGACGTGAGGTGATACAGTAGAGAGGGACGTGAGGGTGATACAGTAGGGTGAAGGGACGTGAGGTGATACAGTAGAATGAAGAGGACGTGAGGTGATACAGTAGGGTGAAGTGGACGTGAGGTGATGGCAGTAGAATTGAAGAAGGACGTGAGGTGATACAGTAAGGGTGAAGTGGACGTGAGGTGATACAGTAGGGTGAAGAAGAGGACGTGAGGTGATACAGTAGGGTGGAAGCGAAGTGGACGTGAAGTAGGAAGGGGACGTGAGGTGATGATACAGTAGGGTGAAGAAGAGGACGTGAGGTGATACAGTAGGGTGAAGAGGGGACATTGAGGATACAGTAGGGTGAAGAGGAGGTGATACAGTAGGGTGAAGAGTGAGGTGATACAGTAGGAGTGGAGAAGGACGTGAGGTGATACAGTATAGTGAACAGGAGTAGGGTGAATTGAAGAAGGACGTGAGGTGATACAGTAGGGTGAGTGGGGTGATACAGTAAATTAGAGGACGTGGTGATACAGTAGGGTGAAGAAGGACGTGAGGTGACAGTGAGTAAGTGGACGTGAGGTGATACAGTAGAATGAAGGGGACGTGAGGGTGATACAGTGATACAGGGTGAAGAGGACGAGTAGGGTGAAGAGGAGACGAGGTGATACAGTAGGGGTGAAGAGGGGACGAGGTGAGGAGGGTGATTGTGGTGAAGAGGAGGTGAGGAGGTGATACAGTAGGGTGAAGGGGACGTGAGAGGTGA